AAGTCACGGGGTCTGGGATGTGAACCGTGGTTGACTACATGGGAGTCCAGAAACATAGCCATTACGCCAACTGCTGGTTGAGAGGTTTTTGCTATCAGGCATGTGCACTCATTGGAGAGAAAGAGAGGGGAACAGAGAGACAGAAAGCAAGAAACCACCCCCATTGATGGCTATGCCGTAATCCCTTCTCCTCCATTCTTCTCTTGGGATTTTGGACACTCACGCACACTCAGCGTGTGTGGCTCAGTGTGAGTTTTAAGCCACCAGGTTGAGGACTCGAACTGCAGTTGACTATGTGGGAGTCCAGCGATGTAACCATTATGCCATCTGCTGATCCAAATTTATATATTTCTTCTGTGAGTGAGAGAGACAGGCACACACACAGAGCCAGCATCCCTGCTAGGGTCTCGATGCTGTGATCCATCCCCAACCTTAGCTTTGAGGATCATGGGCATGTGTGTGTCAGCATACTTAGGGAGGTCTCTGGACATGAACTGGAAACCTTTTCACGTGGCTCAGCCTTGCAGAGTGTCATGTTTATGGCTGCAACACCATCTGGCCCCAGAATGACTTTTTATTCAAAGCATTACTTGAAGTTAGATAAATATTTTAAGACAGTTGGTTCAAGGGCATTTAAAATTTCTTTTAGTAGAAATGGTATACAAGTGTCATAATACATCTACTTATATAGTTAAGAGATTTTCACATGTATTTTGTGAATGCTGACATTTATAGCTTGGAACCGTTTAATGTTCATAGCTGAATAGTGCAGTCTGTAAAAGATGTGAGCAAACCATACGTTGAGGATTATAGTGCTCACCACTTGCTTAAAAGACAGGCATTATTATAGATGTTCTTCCTTTTATAATGAAATACTGCAAGTAGAATTATTTCCATATTCTGAATTTCTCCCTTCCAACAGAAAGTATTCTGTGCTATATGTAGGAATTAAGTAGCATGCCAAATCTTCAGGTACCCGATTGTTTGAAGTATAAACACATTTAGATTTGTACTTATTGTCTGAATGACCTGTACAGTCCAACCATGTATCCCATAGGTACTTACCTTATGAGCTTAATTAATACAACATACATTCTTGTGAAACTAACAGGTTAACCATCTATATAACTTAAAAATAATTTCAGTGCAAAATTAGGAGCTCTTTAGAGAAGGTAGGAAGTTGCTATGTTTATCTAAGCAAAACTATACATAAAGAAGAATCTCCATAGATGCCTATAATTTTGAGACCTTCATCTCTTTACAAGCCTTTTTCTATTTTGACTAACTTTTTTTAAATGGAAGCATAATGAAGTGAGATATAGAAATCATCAAAGCTGTATGTATCAACTCATTTATATTTTATCTTATAGGCGAGACTAACCTGAGATTAGATGACATTCAAATATTAAAAAGCCCATTAGAACACTCCTAGTAATTAAAAGTAGGGATTATAATACTGGATGATCTTGGATCCTCAAAATCCTACTTCAAAAACAGAAGTGCTGGTTGATTTTGAGTTCATGTTTTAAGGATCTCAGCGCTTAGCATACCAAAGTCCTTTTTAAGGGGGGAGATCAAAAAAGGCAAGATTATTGCCATTCCCTTCCTTTCCTAAGAATCATGTGAAGCTTTTTCTCAGAAAATTTTCTTTTTTTGAAATTTAATTGCTGGAGTGTGCATATGCTTACCAGAGACAGAGAAGGCAGGGCGGTGTGTGTGTGTGTGTGTGTGTGTGTGGGGGGGATGGTTCTCAGCAGGGCGTGGCCACACCACAGTCCCTTTTCCTCCATTTCTTTATCTTGTCAGGATTTAGGGTATGCATGCACACTCACCCAGAGTGTTTCTTAAGCCTCCAGGGCCAGGAAGTGAACCATGGTTGGCCATGTGGGACCCGTATTCCTTAACCACTAGACTACAAGACTGGCCTTTTCAGAAGTTTCCTAATCTCGGACTACTCACAGGGGTGACTTGGTGAAACTACTGACAGGCTTTAGCTAAGTTTGATGTCCTCTGTTGAGCGACGAATCGCCATGGGTTGTGGCAAATCTCAGGAAGCCAGAGCTTATCACTTTCTGTTCTTTGACGTCCAGGCAGAGCGGGAAGGTGTCAAGGACCCTCCAGTGGCTTTTCTTCAAATGTTGCTATTCTTAATGCATCCCTCCACCCCAACCCCTGGATTCAATTTATTGATTGTTTATTCTTCTCTATAGCTTTCTTCTGGGTGGTGAGATACCAGATGATAGTTCATCATCTCCCGGTCCCTTTGCACTTGGCACATTATACCAAACCACTGTTTCGTGTAGAAGGAAAGAACGTGGTTGGCTAACATTTACTCTTAGGTTTGGATATTGAAAGAACTTAGGGCACCACACCGGGCATGTCACTGTCTGCAAATGCTAGGAGATGGGGTTAGAGTTTAGTCCACACCTCCTGGGATACATTCTCAGATTATGCCCTTCACTGGCTTGGGTATTGAACTAGCGAATGCTTCTCATAATGCATGTAAATGGAGTAAGGATTTTAAAGGTCTGCAAAATTTAATGACACACTGAAGTAAAGGCTAATTGACTGACCTCTCACCACCAGTGTAGTCCCTTCTCCGGTTTGCTTAGCTTTCGGGTCTTCTACACTAGGAAATGCTATCCCACAGACGTAAATTGCGCTGTCATTTACGGTCAGCCGGTTGACAGTGAGGGAGACTAGGTTTTGTTCCGGGGCCTTCTTCACTGTGAATTTGTCCGCCTCACTTGTGCACCCTTGCAGACACAGGTTCTCAGACTGGAAAGCGCCATAGCGAAACCACAGGTTGGTTGGCTGCTCTGCGGGGCAGCCAGCTGTGGAGAAGGTGCACTCTATGGTGACAGTGTTGTAAGTGTAGTCCACTTCTAGGTAACGCGGTTGTTTGACAGACACAGTACAGGCCCCCGTAGCTCCTGTGGGAGGAAGCAGATGAATGCTTTAGCGGGCTTCTCACCTCACTTTGCTTGTGCTTCTATTTTACCACTATTTACTGATATTTTACTTCCATTCCTTTTTTATTTCTTAACTTTCAATACAAACAGCATTATAAAAACAGACACCAGGGGTCTTAACTCCCTGTGTTACTGACTCTCCCCCGCTGGCTTGCGTGGTGTCCAGTTACAGGAGGACGGCCCTTGAGAGGTTCCAGTGGACTCAGCATTGGGAACTGAGGGAGCAGCCAATCTCAGGCAGAAGTTTGGGGCCAGGTGTCCACTCTTGCTGCTGACAAGCTTTCCTTTGATCTGTGCAGGTCACCTAATCTCGCAAGGCCTGTTTCCTCCTCTATCCCGGCCTCATGGTGGCAGTGTATTCAGTGTGGTAACACGCATCACAGCTCCTGCACACACATTGCTGCGCTGAGCGAGCACACAGGCAGTAGTCACGCTTTTGCTTTTGGGTTGAGATCACCAAGAATCCATGGCAATTCACAATTACTCCTTTGTGAGTCTGGTGTCCTTTCCAGAAACATGATAAAGGGCAAGATGTGCACCTGTGGCAAGCAGCCCTCACTTATCCCGTATTGTGTTCGGTGACCGTGCTGAGGATAGATGAGTGAGCCATGCTACGGCTCCACGGATCAGATTTCTTCTGGCAATCATATGCTGCTTTGCAGTCCCTTGTAGCATTTATTTTATTTATTAACAATATTGTGTTAAAGAGCAAAAACTTAAGTTTGAATCTGGGCTCTCCCAGTTCCCAGCTCTATGATCTTTGTGTCTCAGTTTCTGCATTAGCAAAATAGAGATAGTGTCATTGACCTGCAGTCACTGTGAGGTTTAAGAGAGACAATGCATAGGAGTATTTAGTTTGCTTAAGCCACAATGAGTATTTAATAAAATGTAGCAGTTTCTGATGCTGCCGCCACTACTGCTGTTCCCACACTGTCTACAGGCATCCCAGGTTTGGAGACTGAGTCCCCTGCATGGTCTTTGATCCCAGGCATGTGAAGCTGGAAAGCCACTGAGATGCTTACAAAAGGAAGACCAGCAGGGACAGGGGAGGCCCGGCTGTATGTGAAATAGCATTGGTCGAGACAAATTGTAATTTCATGGAAGTTTTTAGACTGACTTCTGCCTGGTTGTCTGTTTCCACATGGTCTTACTCGTCTGAGTTTGTCCTTTACTACCTTAAATGAAATGAAATTGAAAGTAATCCAGGTGGTCCAATGCTAAAGTTTTAGACAGTTTTTTTTTTTTTTTCAGATGGCATTTTTCTTTTCTATCTTTTTTTTTTTTGCTATAGGGAGTGTGCGCTTGCCAGAGAGACAGAAAGCGAGAAATGGCCATGCTACAGCCCCTTCTCTTCCAGTCACCTCCCGGGATTTTGGGCACACATGCACCCAGCATGAGTTTTAAGTCACCGGGTCTAGGACTTGAACTGCGGTCAACTCTGTAGAAGTCCAGCGATATAACCATTATGCCATCTGCTGGTCCCGTTACATTTTTTACAAGTCCTCATCCAGAACAGATGCAAGTCTATTCTCAACATGTTGTAATTTTGGTATTTGTGCAGTTTGAGATGAGCTAGGAGCTTTTCAGTGACCTGATAAACATAAGCCAGATGAGAATGAGAGGGTACAGTTACCTGGAGAAGACCAGCAGGCTTCTCAGGGCTTTGTGTCTGCGGGAGGCTTGGCACAGCTCAGTCATCTGTGAGGGGATTGGATCCACTCCCAGGTCTGTTAATGTGCATTGAAAATACACATTATAAAAAGCTTTGAGTGGATCTTAACATTTTTTGGCATCAAAAGAAACTCATACATGGTTTCCTTTTTCTACAAACATTTTGAAGCCCCCTCGTACAACCTCATATTTTCTACTCAGACTCAGTCCCCTGAGAAATGTGGAGGAAGACTTTCCAGTATATAATGATTATTATATATTAGAAATTTGAAACAGCGTGGAACTTGCCAAAACCTATGAAGTTCAGCAGTGTCTCAATCTCAAATCATCTTTCAGATAAAGTTTTTAAAAGGGAAGCTGACTTTTAACACTTTCTCCTAAAAACTAGTAGCACCTGGTAAAGTAAGTATTTGCAGCTTTGGAGTTTCATATCTCTGTACATTTCTGACTTGACTTCTGTGTGTGGTTGTTCGGTGTGTGGGAGAAGGCCAGCTGGGGTGGTTTCCTGTTGAGAGCATGAACCCCTGAGGAAACCGCCGTTCCCCTTCCCATCACCAGTTAAGCAACATCTTAGCAAGAGAGAAGTTTGGGTCAGTCATACCACGTCTCATTCCCATGAAAAATCTCTCTGAGAATTCTCATAGTCTCGAGGGTTAAAACAAACAAAACCAGTATACACTGGAAACTAAGAAGAAATACTTCACCATTTTTAAAAAGCATCTAGAAAATAAGACGAGAACTACTTTTTTGGGGGAGGGGAATTTTTATTTTTTACAGAGACATTATCTTCATACATTAAAGTCAGCCTTAAACTCGTGGTCCTCTTGCCTCAACCTCTGAGTAGCTGGGGTTATGGGTACGCATCACTATGACCAGACGAGAGCTAATTTTTGACACTTAGAAAAAGCTTTTTATTATAGAAAATTTCAGATACGTGTAGAAATAGCAGACTAACACAGTGAACCCAGTTTCAGCCCCGTCTTGTTTCAGCTCTTCTCCCACCTGTCCCTTCACTCCCATTTTATTGTAGGGCCAGTCCATTTTATCTACACCTCTTTCAGCATGTATCTCATAAAGCTAACATTCTTTATTAAAAACACTAATTAAACGAGTTTACACAAGGAATATATAAATATATAATTATTAGAAAAAAATAGAATATTGCTGAAAATGGAAACAAGAAGTCACTCAGAGTTCTTTTGCCCCAAATAACCACTGTTAATATTTGCTGTATTTCTTTACAGAAAAATGATTTTTCAGAGCTTTCTCCCCTTTTTATAGTCCAAATTTTATGATTATAACTCTGATATAGAGAACACTCTTCCATAGATTAAAAAAAAACAAGTGTAGGCAGAATTTTAAAAAAAGATATATTATGGGATGGCTATTCACTATAAAAGGAGCCATGGCATTTTTTAAAAAATAACAAGTACTTTTAATTTAAAGGAATTCAGCTTTTCAGAAACATCATTCTTTGAAAATATACAGCAAATACTGTTTAGTGCTTGTATGTGCAGGGATAAGTTTGCCTGTGTGGGAGTTAAGTTGATGATGAGCACATGTGATTTTAAGAATATTTTCAAGCCTTCATTCCGGTGAGGTGTTCTCTAAAGCAGCAAAGGAAGTTTTCAAGGTTAATAGGAAATTTTTTCTCAGCTAGTCTTTTATTACCTGTTTCTCTGGGGAAAAGAAAACTTATCACCCTAGTCAATTTCCATAATATTATACATTTAAAAATTATTCTGTAGGCACTTAAGATATAAATGTATTAAGCAAAAAAAAAGAGCAACTGATTTAAATGAAACAGAAGAGGGGGAAAATACTCTTACCGACATAAAATAGAATCAGATTGATTTCCAGACCAAGAACGATCTTGCCTCCGTTCACTGTCTCCATTTCTTTGTGTGTGTGAGTGTGTGGGTGTGGGTGTATTTGAAAAAAAAAGTCTGCCCCCCCTTCTTTTTTCAGAAAGGGAGAAGTAAAGAGAGGAACTCATACTAAGGAACTATAATTGGGAACTTTTTGAAATTGTGTAAAGGCGTTCGTAACACAGTTTCACCATTTGAAGTTGAGATTTTTGCTTGGAGCCTTTTTTTTAAAATTAAAAACAAATTTTTATTTAAATACCAGAGGGTGCATGTACTTATCAGAGAGAGACAGAGAGGGAGAAAGCACCCCTCAATGCTGTGTGGTCACACTGGAGTCTCCTGTTTCTCCAGCTTATTGGGATTTGGGGAGTGTACATACATGTGCCTGGTGTGTTTTTCAAGCTATGGCACTAGGATTTGAACCATGCTTGGCCATGTGGGGCTGGCCTTGGAGCAGATTTTAAAATGTGCATATAATTTTTTTTTTCTGTAATTATGGCATACAGCATGTGTGCTCACTAGTGAGAGAGAGAAAATGAAAGTACCCCCCATGGGGACCAGTCATGCTTCAGTCCTTTCTTTATTTCTCTCTCCCTTCAGAATTGTGAGCATGCTCACACACAAGCCTAGTATGTACTTCAGGTTGCTGGGTCTGGGACTTGAACTGTGCAGTTGGCCATGCGGGATCCAGCTGCCTCATCCACCATGGCGTGGGCTGGCCATACATAGGATATTTTTTTCATGGATTTTACAAGTCCTTATAGTTGTTAGCTATTTGGAGTGAGATTTTAATGTACACATAGTGCATATTCCCGGGAAGGGAGGAATTTTCTTTGACAGATAATAAGTACTTTATTAATCTTTTAAGTTTTTTTTTGTTGTTTTTACTTTTATCTACATTTATTTTATGCTGACTTTATTCCCGTGCCATAAGTTTTTGTTTCTTCAGTTTCTTCTGGGATATCTTCTGTGCAACTTCCTCTTCTGGTTTAGGAACAATTTGCTGCTTTTCAGTGAGGATCATCTTGATGTGGCAGGGGGAGCTCATGTATGGGTTAATCTGTCCATGAGCTCTGTACGTACAACATCGCATCTCGGGCGCCTTGTTCACCTGAATGTGCTCAATGACCAGAGAATCCACATCTAACCCCTTAAGTTCAGCATTCCTCTCTGCATTTTTAAGCAGGAGCAGCAAAAATTCACTCTTTTTGGGCCACTGACCTTGTGTTCAGTCCCACTGTTTAGCCTGGGCACATACATCTACCAACTCCGCCATTGTAACAACGGAATGGCACACACTGCTTCTGTAAAGTGACATCCTTCAGATACTTGGTGGCTTTTCGGATATGCATACCCTTGATGGCCTGGGCAGTTTCATGAGTGTTCTTAAAGTGAACGTGAAGATTTGAACCTCTTGACTTGCATGACTTTGTGCGGTTCTCTGGGTCAAGTGAATAGCAAATCATTTTTAAAGATCACCTCAGGCCGCTAGCAAGAAGAACTTGAAGGTTTATTTTATTTTCTTCCAAACGTTGAAGTTGAAGTAGAGCTTCACTGACCATCACAAGTTATTCCACTGACCA